CGGAGTGTTCCATATTTTGTTACGAGGGTGAATCAAATATAAACGAGACTTTTTTGTATTGTATTTTTATTTTAAACGCAAAAAAGAATATAGTCTATTTTTCTACATAATCTCCTGATCTGGAAACACATTTTTCCCAGCGGATAGGCAATTCCTTACACATAGAAAGTTACAGGTCGTGTCTGCAGCCAATTGCGCACGTAGGCTTCAACCTTAGCAACACTATCGAATCTTCGGCCTCCCAACGCTTCCTTGAGAGGGCCAAACACATGAATGTCACAGGGTGACAGGTCTGGACTGTAAGGAGGGTGTTCCAATGTTTCCCACCCCAGTTGCTCCAATTTTTCCCTAGTCAAGGCTGTTGTATGGGCGCGAGCATTGTCATGGAGAAGAACCACTTCCCTGATCGATAGGTCTCGTCTGATGCGGCGATATGCAAGTCGGACATCACTCAAAACGCAGTAGTAGGCCGCATTAATTTTCCTGCGCTCGTGCAAAAAATCGAGATACAGCAATCCACGCTGGTAAAAAAAAAACGGTAGCCAAACCCTTGCCAGCCGACAAACGTGACTTGGCTTTCACTGGTCTAGGTTCTCCTTGTTTTCTCTACTCCATACTCGCTTGTTTAGACTCTGGGATGTAGTGGTGCATCCATGTTTTATCACAGGTGATAATGTGAGTGAGAAATTGGTCTCCTTGTTCCTGAAATCGAGCAAGAAAACGCCCACACACCTAATGACGATGCAATTTCTGGTCAGCTGTGAGAAGGCAAGGAACCCACCTTGCGCACACCTTACGGTACCCTAGCTCCTCTGTGAGTATGGAGTAAGTGCTCCCATAACTTATGCCGACCTCACTTGCAATTTCAGAAGTGGGCAGTCAATCTCGTCAAGATTTCGGCCGGTTTTACGCCTTCTGCGGCGAGAAACTTGATTACAATACGTTGCGCAATTGACGGAGGTACCTCTTGCTCCGACATCGACACGGTGGACACTGAGCGGGTCGAGGAGGCGAGCCCACGTGCTTCCCCTATTCCTGACAAACCTACCCAACAACAAACATAGCGGGAACGTTCTCCCTCCACTATTGTGCCTGAAGGTCGAAAAGTCTCGTTTATATTTGATTCACCCTCGTAAAAGTTCAGATAGACCCGTCCAAACGGAAAATACATACTTATTTATTTGAATAGAATGGATGAACGGATCTGGATACAATTTGTCACAGAGATAGATTATAGTCTGGAATAGTACATAGAGGTTTTTGTCCCGGTAAATAATAATAATAATAATAATAATAATAATAATAGTCGTCTTGATTACATCGATACTAGGGTACTCGTATCTATTCCACGGGATTCAGCCCAAATGGCTTAATGGGATTTCACATGAGGTGTCTGACTCGGAAGTTCTGAGTCGCTGGTCCAAAAGAAATGAGTGAGGGTATATAAATAGTGCATTTCCGTTCTACATTTACTGCAATTTATTATAAATGCGAAAGTGTGTATGTTTGTATATACAGGGTGACTTTGAAGTTGAGTCATTAATTTTCAGATAATGATTGTAGAAGGAAGATAAACCAAAATATGTGTGTAAAAATAAAAAAAATTAAAAAAAAAATGTTACCTTGTTTTATAAAGTATCCTCCCGACAAGTATTTCAGTGCGGACCTGTGCGCCCAAAAGCATGTCACAAAAACTGTTCGAAATGATTTCCGTTTTGCTCGACGCACAGCTGGGCGCGTCTTAGCCATGTCTCTTTACAAGCACGCAATAAAATCACTGGTTGATTTCTGATCACTGTACTCATTTCCTCAATTCGAGCACGTAATTCTTCGCGTGTATTAACCGGTGTTTTATACACTAGAGTTTTTAGCCAACCCCACAAACAAAAGTCTAAAGGATTTAAGTCCGGAGACCTTGGCGGCCAAGGTACAAAACCGCCACGGCCGATCCAACGATTATTAAATTGTCTATTTAAAAATTCACGCACATTTCTTGCATAATGGGGTGGTGCCCCATCTTGTAAAAACCACATGTTTTGTCTAATATTTAAAGGCACATCTTCCAGTAAACCAGGCAAATTGTGTTGCAAGAAATCAAAATAATTTTCACCAGTTAAGCGATTTGGTAATTCAAAAGGCCCCACTAAAATTCCATTAACAATTCCCGCCCACAGGTTGATTGGTTCAAATCGCTGTTGAAAATTGGTTTCCCTTATTTCATGGGGATTTTCAATAGCCCAAACGTGAGAATTACGTGAATTAATAATTCCGTTTCTAGTAAAGAGGGCTTCATCACTCACTAAAATTTGATTTAAAAAATTGTCATCATTTTGATGTTTATTTAAAAGCCAATTGCAAAAGTCAACCCTTTGTTCATGATCTTCCGGTTGTAAGGCCTGCACTTTTTGTATGTGAAACGGATAGAACTGATTTTCACGTAGAGTTTTCCAAGTTTTATACTGACTAATCGCCAATTGAGTTGAAATTTGTCGGGTGCTTACTGTTGGATCATCACTTACTAATTCTAAAATTTGTTCTTCTAGTTCTATTTGATCGTGTGGTCTTGGAGCACCGGCATGATCTCCTCTGTGAGGTCTTAAGTCACCTGATTCACGAGCTCTTTGCACTACATTAACAAAGGCACGAGGGGTTGGTTGCACTCGATTGGGAAACCGATCCGCATAGATCCGTGATGCCGCGGCAGCATTTTGTAAAGACTCCCCGTAAATAAGAACCATGTCCACAAGTTCAGCATTTTCGTAAACATGTGCCATTTTTGATTTGAGCCTCGCAACAGACACGATTATTCACTTACGCGTTACCGACTACCGACTGATACTGACTGTATACAACTGAAGAAAATAATTGTAAAAAGATCGTTCCAAATTCTTTCGCTTTTTTGTTTCCGATGCGATGAACGGATAAGGCGGATTATATCTGTTGTTGCCAAACACGAGAACATAATATCATTATTGAGACAGGGCGGTACTCAAACTTCCAAAGGGCTATAACTTTGTTACTTTAATTTTACCAGAAAAATGGTAAAGGAAAAAAACATTTCTTTTGATCAGATCTACTCACTGTTAAAATAAATGACTCAACTTCGAAGTCACCCTGTATGTCCCGTTTACACGCCAAGACGACTGAACCGATTTTTATGAATGTTAGCATAGATATAGATTAGACCTTGGAGACGGACATAGGCTACCTTTTGTTCCTAAAACTTGAAGGGTTGAAATAAGGAATTGAAAGTTATTATGAGGGAACTACTATTCTTTAGGTTATACGTATATATACAAACTCGGTTTCATATACTTTGTTCTTTGATAAAATGTAACTGGGCATTCACAAAGAAGAATAGAAGAAATATTTCAAATTAGGGCAGCCTACAAGTAGGGGTATGTTTTGTCTTAAATAGAAAATATTAATAAAGATTTCCAGAAATTATATCCTTAAATTTATACGGAAATCTATTTGACCCATGAACCGGATATTTAGCACGGAGGTACCGAAATTTGCGCCAGGGCTAGATTAAGGGAGGCTGATGGCATATATATTCAAAAGTGTTAATCACGAAATCTCGAAAACTATTTGGCCCAATTTGGCAAGGAGGTAGTTTATAGAAGGACATCGCAATTAAGAATGGATTTCACGACAGGGTTGGATTAAGGAATATAAAAGCGAAAATATTTGTACCCGTTAATGAAGAAATGTCGAAAACTATTTGACCTATGACCATGAAATTTGCCAGAAAGGTAGTTTATGGACAGGACATGCCAGCTAAAGATAGAGTAGACTCAAATAAATGGGTTTATGGACTGACCCAGTCTCGGATACGGTAGAAGACACGAAGTTTAGAAATTAAAAGTACTGCCGAAGATAGACGAAAAAAAACAATTTTTTCAAATTATTTTACTGACCTTATTTGTACTGTGAATTCAAAATAAATTACATATCGTCGCCATATTGGATTTTTGAACAGGATGATAGAGTTTTTGATTCTGATTCCCAAAATAGATTATATGTCATATGTCATTGCCAAACCTTATTAAAAAAAGGAGAATTTCCTAAGTAGACCTTGTAATTATCAAATAGTCATTTGTTTCCCGTATCAGATTTATCCCAAAATCATTCTTATTTATTCCGGACTTTATTTGAGATGAGATTCCTAATTGAATTGCATGTTACTTATTTTCTTCTACAAGATGCCGTAATTTTCAATGCGAGGTTTCTTCTTTCGACTTCCATGACCAACTTTGTTTTTTTTTATGTGGACGTGATATTGGAATTTTGTACATTTAAATAGACCCAGGAACTTCTGTTTTTCTGGAATAACTAAAGTTTGTCAATGTCAATGTATGACATACGATATTTTTGAAATCAGAATTAAACTCTATTTGTCTCCGCAAAAATCCAATATAGCGCCCATAAGAAGAAATAAAGTTGGTGCTGGAGAACAAGCCATGAAACGTCTTATTAAAATTATAATGATTATGTCATTTCTATTTTAAAATCCCACAAAATATAACGACAGGAAAAAATTAAAACGATTTTGGGAAAATCAGTTTTTTCCGTCTCTCTTCAGTAGTACCTTGAATTACGAAACTCTCTAAGCGGCATTTTGTTAATTACAAAAATAGACAACTTTGCCCCCATTTAAGCGACTTCGTATCTCTTACCGTTTCCGAGATTGCACTGGTGAGGATCGAAACACCCTATATTTACGTATTTTTATAAATAGAGACTAGGCAAAGAGGTATTTTTACCATTTAAAATTTAGTTTAATCTAATACGCTATTTTCAAAATTTTAGGTTATTTTAACAATTTTAAGCGTACGAAGTCGCCTCACTGGCAACATATAGTGTTGATATAACACGAGTACATCACTTCATCAACCCGAATTTGAGTCTGCTAACTTCACCCATCCAAAAAATAAAAGTGAGGGGTGCCTTTTCGATAAGCCCTGTATGTTTTATTAATTTTTTTCTACAAATTTCAGTGAAAATGCTGAAAGACAAGGCTCGGGCTACTTTCTAGTTGATCCAGTTTTGAAATATGGAAACAATGAACATCTTTTATTGGACTGCATCCAGTGTCAGACCGTTCTTTCTAAAGGCCTGGGTTCTTTTTCTTCATGGAAGAATAAACTCAGAGTAGCAAGGGAATCAGGATACAACATGATTCATTTTACCCCAATACAGGTATATGAAGAGTTTGTCTCGGTGTTTTTTAATATCAGTTTTCAGGGTATTTTGTATTTTTCAGGAATTGGGTATTTCGAATTCCTCCTACAGTTTAAAAGAATACTTAAAACTTAATCCGTTATTCGTGAAGGAGGACGGGAAAATGCCGACATTTGATGAGATAGAGAAGTTCGTTGTTGAATTGAGGTCTGAGTGGAAGGTAAGACATTGCTAGTTCTTGCATAAAGTGTTATAGATAGGCCGAAAATCTCGTATTATGTAACATCTTCAACTTTTCTGGCCGTTTTTTCGCTGATTAATATCCATGCTTCACTCCCTACCAAATAAAAATCCAGATGTATAATCGAAGATTTACTAACGTTTCGTCCACTTCGGTGGCCCTTTTCAAGGTACAAATAAAAAAAATTATTTTACCTACGAAATTACCAGTCACTCAACTACAATCAAATAGATGATCAAACTTCAAGTATTTATCAAAAGGAATATATAAAATATCTTGGCGTATTCATCAATAGGTGGCTTTGTTGGAATATCCATATTTCTTATATTGATAAAAAAAATTGAGATTCTCGTATAAATTCCACAACTAGGCATTTTCTCACAAAAAACAACATGATGATGATAATATTACATTATGCACTAGTAGAGTTTCACCTAACTTACGGAATAACAGTTTGGGGCTCTGCAAATAAGGCGCTAATAGAATGAGTTGAACAAATCACAAAAATCTATTCTGAAAATAATATACAATAAACCCTTATGTGTACAGTGATACAGACATTCTTGACGTACAAAAATTATATATTAGAGGTATATATTAGAAGTATTATTAGAGATCAACAAAAAAATAAAAATTATATAAAATAATGAATTCAAAAAAGAGCTGAAAGGTTGGTTAAGAGAAATTCCAAATTACATGTTAACATATATTCACCCATTTTGAGTAACCAAAATTGCATTCTAATAATAAAATTGAAATTTATAATACACAACGCCACACACGCTTTATAATAATCATGGTTATTTATTTTGGTAACCAACATTTATTTTCATTTAATGTCCTTATGTATTTATTTTTGTCCACGCACAAGGATATCCTTTTGTAGATTGAAATTCATTAACCATGTTATATATTAATATGAATAAATTATTTGCAACCTCATAAATAATAATTTTCAATCGAGTTTTTATGCATTAAAGATTACCATTTTCAGTGTTTTTTCAGACTTTCAATCATTCATAACTCGAAAACTTTAGAGAATAGTTACTTATAACCTTTTTTGTTCAGGATAATCCAGATAAATCTAAAGAACAACTTTGTTCGGAGCGAAAAAACATTTATTGTAATTTGTTAAAATACTTGCACAGGGTTACCGCCCGGCGAACTCTATTCATTATTACATGATTATGAAAAACAAAATCAAAATGGAAAATTTATCCCGGATATCCGACGTTTTCGGCTTGTTTATTGATAAAGCATCTGGTCAAACTCAATAACCAACTGGAACTATGTCAGTTTAATTTGAAAACAAAGCATTACCGGACCTATGTTTACACGAAGATTGATTTCTATGCTGCACTGACTTCAATGCATTTGTCAATCGGTGCTCCAGCATTTCAGTAGTAAATATGTTGTCCGACTGCAGAAAATTTCTCCAATATGACAGATATTATTTATAGATTACTTGATTTTTTATTTGATTATTTGTTTAATATTTATTTAGCATGATTGCTACAATTACATTCTTTTAAAAAACTACAACAATTTCATAAAATACAAATATTTAGAAAAACAAAAGTTACATCTCTAAGGATTTCCACTGTTCATGAAATGTTCTTTTAATTTTCTTTTACACATATTTAAATTACCAGTAGACTTTATATCATTATCTAGTGCATTAAATTCAAGTAATCTATATTTCATCTTTTGTAATAATTGAGGTTATGATTATTCTATGTAATGTTCTAAATGTGGCAAAAGATGATTTTGAAGAATATTGCATTATAAACTATTTTTTCGGAATATATGAGAAGCTCTATAAAATTATATATAATATTTAATTGATCCAACATTTTCAATTATTTCACCAAGTATCCTAACTGTGATAGTATGTATATTAATGTATCATCTGGAAATATCTGAATTTTACAATAATCAAAAATATCACAAATGTCGTTAATGTATAAAATAAATAGTAGTGGATCTAGTTTACTACCTTGTGGTACACCAACAGAAATATTTTTTGAGCTTGATAATGTAGATAGAAATTTGATTTTTTGATTCTGTCACTTAAGTAGTTTTGTAGAATTTTGAATACAGATCCTTTAAATCCACAATGATGGAATTTTGTAAGTAATTTATCAGTGTCAGTAGTTTCAAACGCCCTTTTGAAGTCCAAAAACACTGCCACTGTATGTTTCCTATTGCTCATACATCTCGTTCAGTCCTCTCAAGCTATTTGTTTTACCGTTTCAGATGGGTATTTCCTCCTAAATCCAGCTTGCCATTTTGTTAAAATTCTATTTCCCTCGATTTTAAAATATGTTCGTATAACGTATAATTTCTTCAAATACTTTTTCAAGATCTCGCACAAAATTGACCCTGATACTTGTCCATTGCGGGCGGGTGATGTTTATATTCTCATTTGACGTCTTTGTCCGCGCAATGACGACAATGACCAAGATGCTCTGCAATGTTGACTTAAGCACAAATGGGTTAAAATATTCGCAGTTGGTATAAAATTACTAATTAAACAACCACAACAAAACAAATAATAAAATTTGAATCATACACACACATACAAATCTTAGCGTTTTTTGTTTACTACTCTTATCGTAAATTTGGCAAACTTTTTGTGTTTTTGTATGGATCATTTGTCTGATTATTTTTTGCGAAAAAATGACCCATGTTCACGAAAATAATGAACTAATAGACATGATACTAACATACGGAGAGTGCCAAAAAAATGCAGTCGCAGCATACAGGTTATATGCGGAAAGGCTTCCTCTAAGAAATCATACGGCCCCACGGATGTTTGTAAATTTAGTTATTATACTTCGTGACACAGGATATTTAAAAGAACAACGAGGAGGTCAAGCTGGATGACCTACTCAACCTGAAATCTTACAAATTGAGCAAGAGGAGGTATTAGAAATGGTCGAAGACGACCCAACAATGAGTACTAGAGCCATAGCAGTATGGAAGACAATACGACAAGAACAGTATTATCCTTATCATGATCAACGGGTACAAGCGTTACAACCTGAGGATCATCCTAGAAGATTTGTACTTGCCGGAGGCTTCTGGGACAGTTCGGCAGAAATGAAGATTTTACGAAATTAATTTTGTGTACAGTCGAGGCCACATTTTCACGAAATGGATTGTACAATTTCCACAACAATCATGTTTAGGCAGTAGAAAATCGGCATGCTGTAAAAATAACTCAATTTCAACATAGATGTTCATTAACTGTTTGGGCTGGCGTGGTAAATGGCTTGCTTATTGAACCCTATTTTTTGCACCTCGACTGACAGGTGAAAATTATTTATATTTTCTTCGACCAAATCTGCCACAATTATTAGATGTTCCTTTAAATTTGAGACAGAGTATGTGGTTCCTAGATGATGGGTCTCCACCACATTGACGAGAAGTTCATGAACATCTAAGTAATGAGTTTTCGAATAGATGGATAGGACGCAATGCCCCATTTCTTCGCCTGCTCTCCCCCCAGATTTAACTCCTTGCTATTTTTTCTGTGGGCCTATTTGAAAGAGTTGGTGTATCATGGTGGAGCAGTAAATACTCTGGAAGAACTTCAACAACGCACAGAAAATGCTTGTGATTCAAATCGTAGACACCAGGATTTTATTTTCGAAGCTTGTAAAGAGTCGTCGATTCGTCGAGCAAGATTTTGCGTCAATCGAACAAATCGAGGCACTTTTGAACAGTTTTTGTAAAAACAGTATCCATTTAACTTGATAATGATTTTTTTAAATAATTTTTTATAATGTAAACTAACTCTCTTATGCAACTTTTATATAGGTGATTTTTGGTATATCAAGTTCTTTTCACGAGTTCTACAAGCTTCTAAAATAAATGACTCAATTATGTTTTCACTTCTCTAATATTAGCAATGCGGTTGCTAGATTGCTCTTAGCAAATACTTTTTTATTCTATTCAGATGACCTCAATATGCGACGTAGTTCTAAACCACACGGCGAACGAGAGTCAGTTTTTGCAAGAACACCCAGACGTAACGTACAACTGCCAAAATTGTCCGTACATGCGACCTGCCTATTTGTTAGACGTCGCCTTCCATTGTTTCTCGATGGACGTGAAAAAGGGCCTATATGAAGACAGAGGTATACCCATACAAGTGAACCATGAAGACCACCTGAATGCAATTCGGTATCATTTTAAAGTCAGTGTGTTAGGTAAGTCGAAGATAAAAAAACATATTTCAGAAAAAGTAGCTATATTTTAACTGGTTATGTGCCAGAGTGATGTGGAATGTCCGAAGATTGATGAGTCAGAGATTCTAACGTCTCACTTTTCTATGGAAAACTTCACTTTTCTTACCGTTTTCGCTCTCGCTGTACATATTGTAGCTTATGAAGGTTTTTGGAGCAGCTGCCCCCTTCTCTCAAACTTGACTCGAATGAAAACATTTTTTAAAAAATCAAATAGAGCAAAATTGTTCGTTTACAGAGCTAAGCTGAGCCAATATGTATGACATGAGACATTACTAGGGTTAATTGAAATCTACGTTGAATTTTGATATTGCTAAAAGCACTGTAAATGCACCGGGTATTTAAGATTCGATCCTCATCATTGGTACTCGTATCTCGGAAACAATGTATAGTCGTTAATGGCAATTGAGAGTTTTTCTGAATTTACCGTAAATCAGTTGTATTTTTTCATGGCAAACAACTCGATCTGTTATTATGTTAATTATATACTCTAACGTGAGGGACAAATCTTGAAAATCAATTTTGAACCAGTTAATCTTTTATTTGTTGAAGATTTATTTAGCATTAATGCTGCAATGTATAATTATTCGTTTAGACATTTTTTTATCAATTTTCGGTAATTTTACATTCTTATCTATTAAAATTACATCGCTATGCATTCTGTGTATTCATAACGTAATTTTTTTAATCCCCCTTAAACATTTTTAAATTCGAGCACTGTTTAATATCATTGTTCAATTTGTCAAATTAAATACTTTTGAAATACGAATTTGGTAATGAATGATTTTTAATTTGAGTATGAAAATGGCAACTAAATAACATATACATTTTTTTACATTCAACCACTGTAGTTCTTCTAACATAAACTTAATCTTAGCATATTTGTTTTTACTTAAAAAGATTCTCATAGCTATATTTTGTAGATTTTGTAATTTAGAAAATATATTTTTATTTGCTGTAAACAAAATAGTTGTTACAATATAAAAAATTAGGAAAAATTATGGTAATGTCCAATGATATGTGGTTTCATTGGCCAGGCAAACATGGGAGATTATCGACATCAAAACCACAGGATAAATTTCAGATGTTACATTAAGAATTATGGTGTTATACACAATTTGTTTGGAATACATATTGAGATTGTGGAAAACTCTCTAGAAGTAATTTATTTTTTTTATATTTTCCAAAACGAGTAGGTTTTTGGACTTTTTTTAAAATCATTACTAAGCTAACAAAAAAAGTTTTTTGAAGACTGCAATCAAACCTTATAAATAATAAATCCGCTATAAACTAGCATCTTAAAGCTTTAAAATCCTTGTTTCAAAGTCTAGATACGACCATTTTTTAACGAAATACTGCCTGTCAAAGATCATCAAAAAAATTTTAATTTTCTCTTGCTCCCTTAATTTTTTTGAGTTTTTTAGGAATAAATTCTTATCGTATATTTCACTACTACCTTGAGACAGGCACGCACATTATTATTATAATTTAAAGTATTCTTTAACCTTTTGCAGCCAGGTTCATATTTTTATTATGAAATAATTTATTTCATATATTATTGATATATTGAACTGTACTGAATATGTATGGTTGTTATTTTGGATGATATACTCTTTTCAGGAAACTAGCGAGCAACATATAGCAAAAATACTCATTATTTTTTAACTTTACTTGTAACACCAAGATAAAAGTGGAATATGACATTATTAGCTTCAAATGAGTGTGCAGCTAAAACGTACCAGTATTTGCTAGAATTCAGGAAAACAATATTTGTGGAGCTTGATATAAATCCCTTATTCCAAGTTGAACGTTTCCCATGAGATGCGTGTAACATGCTATTCCCGCCAACTGAGCTATTTTACTGGCCATTATTTCATTTCTGATAAAAAACCTAAATTATAGGAAACCAGTAATAGGCTAGCTGACACTGATTTTAAGTAGGTATCAAACAGTTAATATTTGACGCAAAACTTTAATTTAAAACTGTTGTTATATTAGACAGGCAAAAACCCTGTCCCCCATGTTTGACCCATTTTAATTTCTGACGTCATATTGCCTGTAAACAGCAGCTGAAATCAGCATAACCTCTCAAACTTTAAAACATATAAACATGACTTCTACTAGTTTACATGAAAGATATAGTAATTATGTTATTGTATGGACCGAGAATGTAAAAACACAGTGATAAAAATCTCAGAAAAGCTGTGGATTAGAGTGCCCTGGGAAATAAATATTTATACGCAACACTACATTTTACTGTGCAGATTTTATTGTCTCGTTTAAATTGGACGTAACCTGCGGTATCATCACCGTACGATTATCTTGAGGAAATACAATAATATCAGATAAAATTATTCAAACTTTATGATGCTTAGCTTAGTTTTGTGACTTCTGAAAAGGAACATGTAAGTGTATTACTTATTCTTTCTTTTCATGTCTGTCATTATATCAGATGTCCTGTACTTACACAGAAGTCTTGATTTTCCTCAGCCCAGTAGAGCAGAAATCTGGGTTGAACGCAAAAATTATCATGTGTCAATCTGTCTATTTTTGGCAATTTGTGCTTTCTGCTTTTACGAATTCAACCTCCATGACTGTTTTTTCAATTAAACGTGAAAACGATAAAACATACGGATGACGTTGCTTTCTTTACAATTTGTATGACGTCATATCATCACTGATAGTGTTTTCACTGTTTCGTATTAAAAATAAAAAAAATATATGACTATATCCATCTTGTGCTTTTGAAAACTTAAATCGATATACAGTAATGGACAAAAGTATATAGACAAATTAATATTGTGCTGTATTTCTCTTTTAACTTGTTTTGTTAATACACCAACCTGTATACATAATTCGTTATAGCATAATACTCACTTTATACATAAATAAATTCATTAGACTCCCTTCAATAAAAAATTAATTGGTAAAGAAACTGGAACTATGAAGGACAAAAATATATAGACAAAGCAAAACAATTATAGAAAAAAGAAGCAAATTTAGAAAACCAACCATGTTTGTGTTAATATTTTGTAGCATAACCATTATTATCAATCACCGCCTGGCATCGTCTCGGCATAGATTGTAGAAGTTTCTTGATATTAGATTCATCAATCTGTCTCCACTTTTGCTCTAAAGCGGCAAAAAGTTCATCCTTGTTTGAATAATTTTTTATTTCGTATTTGCTTATCTAAGTATTCCCATAGATTCAATGGGGTTCATATCGGGAGACTGTGAAGGCCATTTGAGAACTGGTATTTTTTCATCCAGAAAGAATTTCTTTGCGAGATTTGAAGTGTGCTTCAGGTCATTATCTTGCTGGGAGATTGATCTTAAGGGCATATTGTCTTCCATATAGGGTAACATGACATGCTTTAGTATGTCTGTGTATACAAACTTATCTATAATGCCATCTATTCTATGTAACAGTCCCATCTCAAACCCCGAAAAGCATCCCCAAACCATAACAGACCCGCCTCCATGTTTAACAGTGGGCAAAGTGAACTTGGGTCCCATCCCAAACCCCGAACGCATCCCCAAACCTCGAAAAGCATCCCCAAACCATAACAGACCCGCCTCCATGTTTAACAGTGGGCAAAGTGAACTTCGGGTTCAAACTTTGTCCACTAGAACGTCTAACGTAATGAACACCATCTGATCCAAACATATTGAACTTGGATTCTCACTGAAACATAGCCTCTTCCAGTCACAGATGCTCCAATCAAGGTTTAACCGTGCAAATTGTAATCGGTCCTTACGGTTTTTCCTCGAGATTAGCGGCTTCTTACTCGGGCGACGTGCAAATAACTTCAAATCATTTAATCTTCTACTTATAGTTTTCGTAGAAACACTGACAATTCCGTTTGTCTCGATTTCGGCTTTTATTTGTCTTTATTAATCTAACTGATCTAGCATTTAGTTTTCTAGGCCGACCACTTCTCTTAGAGGCTTCCAAGATACCTTTTTGTTTATATTTGTTCAATATTGTCCAAACTGCTTTACGCTTCAGCTTCAAATTTTTGGCAATGTCGACTTGACGTTGACCATCTTTGTGTAACTGAATGATCTTAGTTTTCACATCGAAAGAAATTTCTGAACCACGCGGCATGGTCTTAAAATCACTCAAGTTATTCCACAATACTTGATGAACATAAACTAATCCTCTTCTGACACGATACTGTACTAAACTAATGTTGACAAGAATTTGTCTACATATTTTTGTCCCTCATAAAAAAGTACTTTTATCCATTACTGCATATCGTTTTCCTTACAAACACTGTAAACAAATTACATTTATTCCATGAAATTAGATATGATCAAATAACCTATTATCCTGGTAACCTCATTTAACCCTACAGTCATCCGCAATCTACATCGACCCATATTTCCATTAGATCCTCTGAACATTCCGGAGCTGTTCATTTGCGATGTAAATCAGTACGTGCTGGAGTTTTTGACCAGAGCCCGCGTGTCGTCCCCCAGAACCATGCACAATCCCGAACCTGCTAACGAATCCGAAGGCAATTTGAAACTAAAGCAGGATCCGCAATTCAGGCGGCTGGCTGCCACTGTCGACATGGATAAAGCGCTCAAACTGTACAACGTTTATTGGAACGACACGTTTGATGAGGAGTCGAGGTTGAAGAAGTGCGCAGAGATGTTCAAGAACTCACTATATTCGCTTAACAAAGGTGAGTATCGATAAACCGTTTATCACGGTAGTTCAACATGTCATATTTGTGTACTTTATTTGTTTATTTGTTGAATATTTATTGAGCATTAATGTTACAAAGTCAATTTTTTATATTCATTCTTTTACACATTTTTTTGTAGTTTTACATTTCTCTCGATTAAAATTACTTCGTTATGCATTTTGTGTAATCATAAAGTGATTTTTCAATTCACCTTAGACATTACTCAATTTATGACATTCAAATACTTTCTTTTGAAATACAGATTTGCCAGTTATGCTACTATTACAATTTTGCAGATGAAAATCTATATCGCTTCTACTTTCGCAGTAAGATAAAAAATGGGGAAGAATCATGGTGTCTATCTGCTTTCTAATCAGTCGTCTAGTAGAAGCTCTCTGTGAGGTCAGCATATTATGCAGGCCTCTGCTGTACATTATTTTTGTAAATGACTTTAGTAGCTCAAATCACGTCATGTACGCAGATGATACATTGATTCTTGTAAACACCAATAATATGTATCTCCCTCAAAAAGCTACTGCAGAGTTGAGGAGTGCACAGCAAAGGTTTTTGTACAATGGTGTAAAACACGATTTATTAAGTTCGGCCACGCAATTCATAACATCAGTAACAGCTTGTTGATCAGATCGTTGGATGGATCAATAGAACGTGTTCACATAACAAAACTTTTAGGCATACAAATTGACCAATGCCTTAAATGGAAGCCACCCATTAACCAGATTTGCAATAAACTTGCATATACATCATATTGTCTTAGTCAGCTGCGATCTTCTGTTTTCCTTAGCTCTTCTCTTTTTTTATTCTCCTTCCCTTTCTCTTTTTCCTTGGTATTGTCTGGTTTTTGGACAACCAGGACTAACAGATTCGACTAACGTACATTAGACAGTGACAAATGGGCAAAGGTCCTACGGTCCGCCCAGACAAACAAATGGCGAGTAGTAGTCAGCTGCGATTTGTAAATAAAAGAACTTTGCTGATGACATACTACTTAGCCTATGTCCATTATATTATTTTGTATGGCATAGTTGCATTGGGATGTTATTCGGAAACCAAAAGAGTATTCGCCATGCAAAAAAGAGTGGTCAGGTTAATTGTAGACGTAAATAGAAGAACAAGTTGTAGGGAATATTTTAGACAGCTGGGAGTATTAACTCTTCCATATATTTACATGTGAGGGTTGCTGATCTAAGCGAAGAGAAAGTGGGTAGATTTTCCAAAAATTAAATGATCATAATAGATATTCAACCAGAAACTCGCTTGTTCTCCAAATTCTCTCACACAGATTGTCATCTACAAAAAAATAGTCTAAAGATAAAGATTTTCATCTACAAAAAACAGTCCAAAGATAATGGGTAAAGGGTAAAGACTCTGCTAAAACAGAGGGCGTACTACTCCATGAATGGGTATTTTATGGATACCATATTGCATATTGCTTTTGCGTCTAAGTGGTGCATCTAGGGTTTCTCTTTTTGTCAGATATGTTCCTTTAGTCGCTTTTTCTTCAATATTTTCATTTTATGTACATATATTTTAATTTTATGTACATATATTTTAATTTTATGTATAACAAAAGTTTGGAAGGCATCGAATATCTGACGAATGACTCATCTAATTTTTTTTTTAGAAATTGGTAGGTGTACAGTTTTTCAAAAAATGATAGCAACTTTAGTTTTTCTTATGGAATGCTATGCATTTTATTCGATATTTGTATTCTGCGAGAAATTCTTAATACCTTTTATTTAGGATACTTTGGCGTAGACCTCATTGTTTTCGAAATATTCGCGGTCAAACATTATTATTCAAACAATGAAAGGTATTTTTTCACCCAAGCAATGACCAGTATTGAAAGTAATTTCCTGTTATTTCTGACATTCAAAAGTCCATTGAGTTTTGTTAGTAGAGTTATTGAGAGTGATTCATTTAACTGAAACCGAGAGAATAGAAATTCTAATGATTCTGGGTTATGGCGATCGTGGACTCGTACTGCAAGAAGTTTGCGATATTTTGAATAACAAATATCCCAACCGGAATCCAATAACAAGATCTACTGTTGGAAAAGTTTTGAGGAAATTTGAAATAAAACAGCCACTGATGAAAATAAGGCTTTGAATATTTTAATGAGCATAGCGGAAAACCCCCACCTTTCTACTAGAACACTTGGTGAAGATAACAATAAATCTCACATGTTTGTGGAACGCATTTTAAAGACGGAAAAATTCCATCCTTACAGAGTCACATTGGTTCAAGAGCTATCAAATGAGGATTTTGACAGGCGTTTACAATTCTGTTAGACTATGATGACCATGTGAAAAAATTAACATTTTTTGTACGAAATAATGTTTCCGGATGAGTCAAGTTTTTCTTTGAACAGAAATTTTAATCGCCATAACTGCCGCTACTAGGCCAGGGAAGAAAATTTAAACGCTAAATTCTTGTAACTTTCATTACCACAAACAATAAAAAAATATCATTACTGTTTTCTTTTAGCAAATAATAGAGTGTGCAACGATAGAATATGGCTCCAACAAGATGGTGCTCCTCCGCATTCCGCTCGAAATGTTTGCAAATTTTTTGATCAAACAATTTTTTGGAAAATGGATAGGTAGAAGAGGTACGATTGAATGGCCACCTCGGTCTCCTGACCTCACAACAATCAATGATTTTTTGTGGGGGCACTCAAAAGATGCAGCACACAAAACTGCAGAAGGATCGAGGATGTCTTCGAAATGTTCTAAACGCATTTCCGCAATATCTAGCTTATTGTCAAGAAGTATATGGACGGCAATTTAAACCTTTAATATGATTTTTATCATGGTTTGAGGTTTAAACTAACAACTAGGTTTTGTCGTTTTCGTTGTTTTTATTTTTTCTCTTGTTTCCTTGGAATACCGAATACACTATTTTAATCAATATTAGAATTTCTTTCCTCTTGGTTTTAGTTAAAAAAATCATATTTTTATTAACTCTACTAACAAAACTCAATGGACTTTTCTCTGTCAGAAATGACGGGCAATTATTTTCCATACCGGTCATTATTTAGGTGGAAAAAGTACCTTTTATTGTTATTTTGAGAACTATGAGGTCTACGTCAAAGTATGTTAAATGTCAATATCATCAACGGATCCGCCGTGGTTTCGAACCTAAATCCAATTTTTAAACAAAATTAGATTAGTAAATCGTCAGATATTTGATGCGTTCCAAACTTTTATTACAGTCTGTATATACGGTTTTACGTAACTTATTCATGCTTTTGTAAAGGTCATATTCCGCGATTTTGATTTTAATTTATTGTATATGTGTTCTTTATTCTATATTATTTGTTTTACTCTTTGACACCGACTATTTTACAACTTTTACTGTAGTTTTCTATTCTCTGACACGTTCTATATCATTAACTGATGGTCTATCGAACTAATAAAGATTCTGATTCTACTTCTTGAGAGCTTTTGGGATAAGTACCAAACCGCTTGCTTACACTTTTTTGGAAACATTCCTGCTCTCAAGAAGTCATTTATGTTTACTAAGTAATGGAAATTTATGTTTTATTCTGACATGTTTCTCTGTTTTATATCTTACCTTAAATGATTTACGTTGCAGCAATAATCGAAGAAGTGAACAATGACTTGAATACAGCCATCGAAAACGTTATAGCCGGCATCCGGTATTTCCGTGTCCAACCTGATGGCCCCAAATTCACAGATATTACCATCAGCACGCCATTGGTGTACAGGTATTTCACCGATCATGACGAAAATCTATTGACCCTGAAGGAATACGAAGCGGCAATGTACAGCGATAAAGGGCGCTTCATGATGGCTCACAATGGATGGGTCATGAACTCTGATCCATTGCGAAATTTTGCTGAACCAGGTTCCAAGGTATATATACTAGTAAATTCCTTACATTATTATAATATAGCAAGAAAAGGATCCTATGCAAGGGGATCTCAATACCTGTGGGAGTCACAGCTTAGGTTAAATTAGGAAAGTTACGTTTTTTGAGGCGTATTTACTTGCCGTTGACAAACTTACTGAGATATTTCGGAAAAATCATTTTTATTATTTTGGACTTTATTTCAAAAAATATCAAAAAACTATTTAAACTTGTTACTGTTTAGTATATTATTTACTCTATGTGTTATCTCACAGTTCTCAGCAACTCTATGAAAATCTAAATTCTTTCGGGAAATTTATTAATTAGTATTTTTGTAGCACAAAATGTAGCATGCCCGCATGTCGAACTTTTCTTCTTTGTAAAATGACCGCCTGGCATCTTTGACGATAATAAAACAATATTAGCAATACCCAGTGACAGGTATTTACGTCAAGTTAAGCATTCTTTTGCAATGCGTACTTAGAAAAATAAAAAATCAACCATATAAAAAAATAAAGTTGATGATAATAAAATACCAATAAAAAAGTTCCAGCAGTTTTTTGATATTTCTTAGAATAAAGTCAGAAAAAAATAAAAAACGATTTGGCCAATTTTTTTCCCCAATTTAATAGGAATTCTTATTTTGGACACAAGCACATTGTTATAAATGGAAAAGTATAGCCTAAAGCCTCTAATACGAGATCCGAGCGCATGACTGCAGGTATCTGTTTTTTTTACTTCCTACGCCTACTGGAGGGGAAGTATTGTAATCGAGAAAATTTTCGAAAATGATGTTTTTTGGATGTTATATGAAATGCATTTCGTGGCCATATCGTAAAATTGCCCATTTCATGAAATGGTCGCATTGAAATGTATCATTATCTATTGGCCAGATCATGATGTGCGTTGACCAGATCAATGATAACAAAATCCTTTAACGACATGATCAGCAAAACGCGCGGCTACTTCATGTTATGATCAAGCATATTTGATCAAATCGTTAAATAATTACATTAATTAGCGATGGAGGGTTGGGAACGCTTTGTTTACATTTCAACTCGGCGGTCGGTAATAACAAATTAGTTTCTCGAAGTAAAAATTCTAATAATTTGTTATCAAATGAGGAAGGAAGTGAGATTGAAAGATTTTAGGACCGAAAGATACTCGAGTACTATGTGGGTCACACAAAAACCAATCAAAAACCTCAAAAAGCTGTGGAGTTGTGGTGCAATTCGGGGCGTGTTTCTCAGGTTAGTTACATTATCATTCAATTATTTGAAGTCAAAATCCTATGTCAGTTAAAATATGTTTTTGTATATCAGAACTACTATATTATTATACGTATGTAAAACTTATCTTAATATTTTATATTATTTTTAGGTTATACGTCTAATAAATGAGAGTAGGGTTACCACACGAGGTAATTACTCAATTTGTGATTACTGATATCACCAACAACTTTATTTGTGACATATTGGGCAATGAAAAATATAATACAATTTTATTTTAATTTCCTTAAGTTAGTAGCTTTATTCAAAATGGTTGTCTTACTTAAAGTACAATAAACGAATTCGTAATATACTCTGGATTTCTTTTGAATATTCCTTGGAGTGAAATGATCATTCGTGGTTGATCAACTCGTTGAACGTTGACGTTGGCCATTCCATGAAATGTGACCATTTCATAAAATTCGACCATCTCATGAAATGCTCGATCGTTTCATGAAATGCTCAATTCTAGGAAAGGACCACGACATGTACATCACGAAAAACCAAGTGACTCATTTCCGTCGGTCTATCTATGGATCCCCTAATCTTATAACCGCCTATAACTTGAGAAGTACCTCTCGGATTTCAATGAAATTTTCACACAATGTGACTGTCGTGGCAATATCTTAGAATTGACCATTTCATGAACTGATCGAGCATTTTATGAAAAAGTCGCATTTCATGAAATTGACAACTATATTTGACCATATCATTAAATTGTCAACGTTTCACGATTTGGTCATCAACGATTGATCATATCGCAAATAGGGTATCCTTTGAATACTTAAAAAATCCAAAAATATGTTACGAACTGATTTATTGTTTAACATGTATAACAAACATTTTTATTAAAACTAGTAATATTAGGAAATTAAAATAATATACACTCATATTTGTATTAAAACATCTCAAATTGCACAACGTGTCACAAATAAAATTATGGAACATATCAGATATTGCAAATTAAGTTATTACCTCGCGTGGTCACCCTACTCTCGTTTATTTGAGGTATTACCTAAAAATGAAATAAACATTAAGATTGGTTTCACATACGTAGAATAATACAAATGTGCGTTCAATAAACAAACACAATATTTTAGGTGGCACATGATTTTGACTTCAAATAATTGAATGATAATGTGATTTCAGAGTGAAGTACTAATCTGTGAACAATTTCCAAACTCCACGGCTTTTTGATGTTTTGATCGTATTTGTGTGACATGTATAGTAATTCAGTACCTTTTAGTCGTGAAATATTTAAGTCTTACCTTTTTCTTCATTTGGTAACCAATTATTAGAATTTTCGCTTCGAAAAACAACTTTGTTATTAACGACCGCCGTTGAAATGTAAACAAAGCGTTGGGAGTGCCTGTATCGGTAATCAATCTAAATATTCTACGATTTGATCAAACATGCTTGCTACCTGTTGAAGGTGTTTCTGTCATTTGTGGCCATGGGCTTCAGACCTAAAAACTGGCGGCAGGCTAAAGTGGTATTTATTCCTAAACCGGGCAGAGCCAGATATACTGGCCCGATTACCCTTTCATCTTTTGTGCTCAAGACATTGGAAATGATAGTTGACAGATTTTTGAGGGATGGCCCGCTGGAAAGGAGTGTCATTCATTTCAGTCAGTTTGTATATCAAGTTGGGAAATCGACTGATCTGGCCTTAGGCAATCTGGACAATGACCTTAGCTGCAGCGTCAGCATAGCTCGGGGTGGTCCGTATGACTGAGTTATGTCACCCCTCTGTGATGCCTCATGGTGAACGAACTCCTCGTTAGGCTCAGCAGTGCAAGCCTATGCTGACGACTTGAGTATATTAGTTAGGGTCGTTTTTGTAGAACAGTCTCTGAGATTATTCAGGGCGCTCTGCGCACTGTGGAATCGTGGTGTAGCGAGGTCGATCTTTCTGTCAACGCTAGAAAGATCGAGCTGATCGTATTCACTAGGAGAAGAAGGCTTGACGGGCTTGTCATGCCGACCTTCTTTGGGATGAGATTAGCGCTATCCCAATCAGTAAAATATCTAGGAATTATCCTGGACCGCAAACTGAACTGGAGAGAGCATGTTGAATACAAGGCTAATAAGGCTCGCAATTCAACGTGGGCTTGCAGACGTGTTGTCGGTGTAAGGTGGGAGCTTAAACCCAAAGCCAAACTCAATAAAATTCAGCGTTTGACCTGTATCAATATTACAAGCTCAATGCGAACAACGCCATTGAGTGCTATGGAAGCTCTGCTGGATCTCCCACCGTTGGATCTAGTGATCCGCGGTGAATCGAAAGTAGTCGCACATTGACTGTGGAGTCAGGGCAGCTGGGCCTTCTTGAATCCTGTCAAGGGTTACACTGCCATCTTAGTCGAATTGCAAAGAACGTTTTTGCTTATCTTTGGATAGAGCAAACCTAAGGTTGCTGGTGAGACTGTTGTCTGGCCACAACACGTTAAGGCGCCACCTGCACGTGATGGGGGTACGGCTGAGGAGCCCTTATGTGAGCGTTGCGGGGTACAGGAAGAGACCTCAGCACACGTTCTGTGTCGCTGTGAGGCTCTGAGCTACTACAGGCAGACTATACTGGGGTACATCACTTTGGACCCCCAGGACGTTACGGAACTTGGACTCAGTGCCATACTCAACTTTGCTAGAATGGCGAAGCTTGAGGTCTAAGTAACGTAGAGGTGCACAAGGGCCCGTTTAAGTGGCCTATGCCCCGGCTCCTTATGGTGGCTGGTGTACCTCTAATTTCATGGTCATATCGTTAAACGGTTTGTTATCATTAACGCGCATCATGAGCTGGCCAATAGAAAATGATATGTACATTTCATGGAATGCTTGTTCATTTTCTAACCTACCGCGTTAGTAAATATTTCCGATAATATACGAGTATATTTGCATGGGCTTTTATGAGATGTTTTTCATAATCATTCAAATTTGCAAGAATATGAAATAAATACATATGAAACTTGAAGGGATTAAAACATTACTGGAAAATTTAAAGAAATTAATCATGTAGTATCCAAAATATTTTATCAGAAAGTTGATAATTACGTGGTTTTATGTAAGAAACCTAGTATATATTCATTAAAAAAAACTTGAGAAGCAATTCAACCTTACTGCAAAATAGGAAGATAATGATTTCTTTAGTTTTGAACGATCAAGTTGGAAAGCTCATAAATCCAGTTGTTTCGTATTCTACTGGCCAGTATGAGATTACAGTACAATCCCATTTTATTGCTGCTAAGTGTGTTCTATACCTGGAGATTTGCAATTATTGAATTCATCTATCACAGTTGCGATGGTGCTACCTGGAAATATCGTTTAAGGCGTATATTGCTTTAACTTAACTAAAACATTTTAACGTGTGATGGATGAAGGAAGAACCAGGATTGAAATAAAAGTAGAAGTAATTCGTTCATTGAAGCAGTGCAAGTCTATATCCATTCACTCATATTTGATGAAAAAATAACATTGACAATAATAATTCACTATTGAATATGCACAGGTCATTAGGAAGTTTTATGTTTAAGGTGTATTTCCGCCGTGAGCTGATAGCTTGGGGTGATAGTGTGAAACTACGTTATGGAGACCGTCCTGAAGACAGCCCTGAGTTATGGTCTCACATGCGTAAATATGTTGAGCTTACGGCCAAAATCTTCGATGGTGTGCGATTGGATAACTGTCATTCTACACCTATCCACGTTGCTGAATATTTACTAGATTGTGCAAGGCGGATCCGGCCAGACCTTTACATAGTTGCGGAGCTCTTCACCAATTCGGATATGACAGATAATATCTTCGTAAACAGGTAAACTGAAAATTGTTATCCATCTTTAATAGAAGTTCCTTTAAAGCGAATTTAAATAATCTAAACTGGTGGACGGTTGCTTTGCAACATGAAAAATTTTAGCCAAATTCAAATCTCGATATTTTCGGAACGGAGATACCGAGTTGTGATATTCAGGGGGTTCTTGGCCAACTCTTTGAGAACACGTATAGGGTTCGACCGGTATATTTATTTTATTTATCCACTTATACAGGGTGAGCAAAGGAAGTCAGGTTTTTTTTAGCAAAGTTTTGATCTTCGGACTATCCTAACAAAATTTTTCGAAAGTTGGCTATAACTGAAATTATCGAATCTTATCCCTAAAAAGGGACTTTTTTGGAGCTTCTCTTGAGAATGGGTATTTTTTCTCATACTGTTACATAATGTGGAATTTCTTGTATTGAACGTTATTACATACAGTGGCGTGCAGTAAAAATTTGCTACTTTGACATCATGTAATATAAACAGAATTTATAAATTTTACTATGCAATACATTAAAGAGAAACTTAGATTTCTATTATATACATTCAGATACTACAGATAAATTTTCAATTAAACTCAATTAAAGATTTTATGTCAAACAGTAGTTGAATGCCACATAACCTATGGAATTATTATCTGGGGATCCATGAATAATAACCATCGAAATTCTTCACAAGTAATACAAAAATTATTCATAAAAACAATTCATAATAAACCTTTACTTTATCCCTCCAAATCACTGTTTATAGAATCAAAACTTTTAGATAAAAACAAATTATTTTGGTATAATGTTATACTATAATTCCATAAAAAAACATTCGATCATTTATAAAAATTATGAAAATAATACTAGAAATAAAAATAAAAAATAATTATTGCAACACAAAAAAATAATGTTGAAATCTTCTATATACTTAGGTCCAAAATTATATCATAACTTACCAAAATATATTAATATATATATATATATATATAAAAAAACCGAATATCATTATTAAAAATAGATGTATACCTGTATACGAGTTGGTTTTGAAAACTGATATAAACATGAAGTAATTTATAAAAAACTAACACATATCTTTCTTCATTGTTAGCCTACGATCCAAAATATAATGTACATATTACACTATAGATTTTTTTTAGTCATATCAGTTTATTAATGCTATGTTATATTATGTATGTTGTGCAAGCATGATATCCACATACAAGGATATTTTCCTTTTATTGGTTCACATTATGTAATTGATGTGAATAAATTATTATTATTAATTAATAATTACACAGCTTAATGATCAAATCCAAGTTATTACTCTTAATATAGGGGTGTATTCCAGTGGCGTATCACAAAAAGCATTTTTTTGTTTGGTAAGAAGTGCTAATAAGTTATGATAATAACTTTGGATGAAAAGGTCCTCCTTTGCTTTATTTTCTGCAATAAATGTCTTTCGGCCCGACCTCGTATTTTTTTAATTACCTCCTCCATGCAACTAGGACGTTTCCCCGGTATCCTGATATCTACGCCTTAAACGGTATATTGAGGACCGATCAACATAAATTGAAGCTATATCATTCATTAAACGACCTTCTCCCAATAATCTTATACAATTCTCTCGTTGTTTTTGAAAAAACGAGGCGTTTTTGAGAAAATAAAATTATACTGTCAAGTCTTCAGTCAATATTATTGTTACTTAGCAATTGCATGTTTGAGGTGTAGGTAGTTAGGATGAAACCGGAGAAAGGTCCTATTTGCATGGAGAGAGTAATCAAAAAAAAAAATACGAGGTCGAGCCGAAAGACATTTATTGCGGGAAGTTACAAATTCGATAATTTGACTTATAGCCAACTTTCGAAATATTTGACAAATTACTTTTTTAGTATATACCAAAGATCAAAAAGATGCATAGAAAAATTTCCAAGATCAAAAATTGAGAATCTAACATAGCCCCAAACTTTGCCAAAAAAACCTCACTTCCTTTGCTCACCCTGTATAAGTGGATAAATAAAAGAAATATACCGGTCGAACCCTGTACGTGTTCTCAAAGAGGTGATCAAGAACCTCCCGAATACCGCAACTCGACAACTGTTTCCTTTGGATTTGGATTTTCCATGTTGCAAAGCAACTGTCCACCAGTTTATTTGGTAAGACATCATATGTTCGTACCAAAGACAAACTTGTTTACACTTTTCCTTGTCTCTACCTCTTGAGTTCAAAGATTCGCATTCATGTTAAAATATTCACCGAATCCCTTACAATCTTATGCTATTTACTAATCTGCCTTATAGAGAATGCAGCAGTCGTATTGCGAAACATACACTTCTTCCAATTACTTTTTTTCAACAGTTTAGAAAACATTCATTTATAGTATGTGTATGTATATGCTTCCACACTTGACATACGAATCGTGTCCATGGTAACTCTGCGGCAACAATGCACCTTACCATTGTTATCAGACGCTTTTTGTTGTAACGTTGATCAAATCTTTATCACAATTACGTCAATTTTACAATTTTTAAATAAATAATCAATTAAGGAACTTGATACCAGTCTAACTCATATACCATTTTTATTCAAATCCTCGATGACGTAGGATCGAGTGTCGCTGGAGCTTAGACTACTAGATCTTGTGATGTCACACCTCTAGACTTTTCCATTTAAGTTTATGGATCAGAGAATACGTGTATTTAGAAATCAACGTTACTAGCATATTTCTCCAAATACCCCTCGAAATTTACAGACGCAACAACAAAAGCTGGAACCCCAAAATGGAAACGCTAACCGCGCTGACGGCCAATATTTGAAGAAGTCATTTTCAAAAAATAAGTGAAGGGTACAGGGAAAAAAGATGACTGTCACAAAAGTAAGTTTCGAGAAAAGTGAATTTAAAAGTTTGAAGACTCCTAGACTCGTTATACAGGGTGGCCAAAGATCTGACGGAGTAGCATAGATTAGATATTATAGCAGTACAAAACTTCTTTTAATTGAAAATCGTTTTTTGTATTGTGAGATTCTTTTGAGGTGATTTTAAACATTTTGTATATGTTAGCGTCCATGTCTGAAATTTTTTGAGATATTGAGGTTGTATAATCTAAGGGTTGATTAACCAGGAAAACACCTGTGTTGGGTTTTACTATCTGTTCTAATACGAGAACTATCTTAACATGAAATTTAATACACAGGGCATAGAACCTGAGAAAAAGACGATTTTCTGAATAGCTCAAACAGAATTATTTTTAAGTATTTTTCTAATTGAGACAAAAAAACAATGAACTGAAGAAAGTTTTATTAAAAACAAAAATTAAACAAAACAAAATTAATAGTAACTGCTTAAAATAATTCCTTAACGTTTATTTCTTTCGTCGCAGATTGGTGTATGGTAAATTGTAGTGGCTACTAGTTTCGGTGATGATCAGTGGGCGTTCATCCTTTTTCCATAAAACGGCTGTGACATTCATCTTTCTTTCCCTGTACGGCAAGTTTTCAATTGGTTATAACTACGAACTGTCATTGTTTTTGCGTGTATCCGATACCTGATGGAATTGTGCTACGTTAAGACTGATTCTCACTACAAAACATCAAATTTATGACATTCATCTTTTTCCCCTGTACCCTTAAAATGTAATGTTATGCCTCTTTTGTTTGATGATAATCCGGCAAAGTTTATTGTTTTTCTTTTCTGATGTTTTTGAAAAAAGACTTCTAAATGAATCACCCATTTTTACTTTTCTAGATTGGGTATATCCTCTTTGATAAGAGAAGCTATGTCTGCATGGGATTCCCACGAAGAAGGCCGTCTTGTATACAGATACGGTGGCCGACCAGTTGGCTCTTTTTATCAACCCGGCACAAGACCTTTGAGCCCCTGTGTAGCACATGCTCTGTTTTTGGATCTAACTCACGATAACCCATCACCAGTAGAAAAGAGGTCTGTCTTCGATCTGTTGCCATCAACAGCACTTGTCAATATGGCTTGTTGTGCTAGCGGTTCAAATAGGGGTAAGTCAGAATCAAAGAATACAGAGTTGCAAGTAGAAGAGCCACACTTTCGAAAAAAAAAAACAGATTCTGCCGCGGAGGCTGAAATGATACCTCTGGTGACTGAAATGCTACTTGCCATTGGGATTCGATCAACCATTCACTACCGGCGATAATAGTCCAGGAAGTATCTTCGCATCTGCCCGGAAACATATTCTGATTAGGTTTTTTTGTACAACCTTAATAAAAAAAAGAAAAACAATTTTTGATGCAATTTTAGGATTGGCAACATGCAGATACAATAAAACGGGTCTTTTTGTGCGAGATTATGCGAAAAAGATGTTAAAATATTTTTCTAAGTAGATTCGAAGATACTCCCTGTACTTCAACTACCAAGGTAGTCGATGGCCAGCATCCTATCCCGTTGGAAGTGGGTCGCGTGGATGTTGGTTGTGTACAGGGCGAGTCACTATTACAAGTTGGTGCCTGGATGCAAAATAAAGGAGGGCAATGATGTTTTGTTTCCTTGCTAATGATTTTATGCAAGTATTGTTATTCCAGCATATTTGGAATCCGTTTTTTGCAAGAACTCACGTCGAGGTGTAATTGACGAAGGAGATCCATCCAAAATTTATCTATGATTCAGGAGTGTACCAGTGTGAAAAACGCGATATCACAAAAATGTAATATGTAGTTTCACTTCCAATAACGAAAATTTCCAAAATAACTCATGATCAATTTGGAGGCTTTATATTGCCTTTTCGGAGCTCCGTTGAATATGTTACGGAATTGGAGGTAATATTTACAAAGAACTTGGTTGAGCTGGCTTGTGTAGACAACGTAGGAAAATGACTGAAAACTGAAGTCTTGACCGTTAGCTTCAATCATCCTTGTGAACAGTTTTTTGCTGATCATTTTCTCTAACTTTATACACAAGTACACATTTATTTTCAATTCGAATATATCGACCGGGATATAGTCACTGCTATGTCAAAAAAGTTTAGCAGATATCTGAAAGTTTTAAATGAAAGGAGCGTCGTTCTACTGACAAATACATAAAAAGATACAGCCAGATATGCGTCGTTTTTTATAAACAATAGGAAAATATTTTCATCTTCAAATTAAACTTTATAAATAATCGGTAAACTGGAGATTTTAGATCATAAAAGGACCTTCAACTTTATTTATCGATAAACAATTGAGCTAAATACGGGGCTTTTTAGCAATATTGAATAAATGCTTATAACTATTGCAATAACAATTGCAATAACAATTGCAAATAGCGAAAAAAACAGTGGCGTACTATTTTTATTTGGATAATGCCACTAATTCCCGTGTATCTCCGCCATTGGAGCACGTTAATTTTAAGTAAAGACTTTCAAATGTGGCAGTACTGAAGTAAATCCATATACCTAATTTTAGTTCATTCCAGTTGACGGTTTCGAAGATATTAAAAAAATGTATTTTGATTTTTAAACAACACCCCGTAACTTTTTAATGAAGCCCTCGAGGAAAAAATGTTACGTAGAAGACCCCCCTTAAAATGCAGTCCTGTGTAAGATGTTTCATTTTTGGTCACGAGTTGTGAATCACCGTATATTAAAATGATTTTAAAATATCCACTAGTAACATACCAAGGTTACCGCGAAAACTATTTTCCAGCTTGCTCATAAAACTACATTCCATTTTCGTTAAGATATGGATCATGAAAACCAAAGGATAAGTTTCAGGTGCTTATAGAGTGTAATTTCATGTTGACCACTTTTGATATGTATTTGGTAACTATAAATATAATGGTATTTTGAATGAAACGAAATGGTCAGCTGTTATTTGCTCTCAAATTTGACGAATTGAAATCGTGGAAAATGTCTACTTTATAATATATTTTGCTAATAGGTTATGATGAGCTGGTACCTCACCACATTCATGTGGTGGATGAAACAAGAGAATATACAGAATGGAGCGATGATGACAAATTAGTGACTAGTAGTCCCAGATATGTTAACAATCAATCTGGAATAATCAGTGTGAAAAGGGCGTTGAATGACCTGCATTTTACGCTCGGTAAACTTGGTTTTGATCAGGTAAGTTAGATAATTTATCAATTTTAATGTATGACATTTGATACATTTTTGGAATCAGAACTAAAATAAATTCAATGTAGCGTCCATAAGAAAATATTTCAAGTGCTATTTTCTTAGTTACTACCATTCAATGGACTACGTATCTTTTACCGTTTCCGATATCCAAATGGTGAGAATCAAATTTGAAATACCCTGTATAGAAGCAGTGTTTTTTAAAGCTATTCTAAAATGCTAAACCAATTTTTCCTCATATAATTTATCATATAGGTATTTTTATTGTAAACTGAGTCAGAAAGACCCGTTTTTGGGCTCCATTTAGCCAATATTAATTAATTAAGTATGTACCATAAATTCAACAAACGATTGTTTGAGTAATTTTATGACAAAAAGCTCATATAAACATAGTTCCGCAAATTCCTCTTTCTCAAGATACAAGGTGTTAACATTTAGAAATAATGTTTTGTAAATATCTTAAATATCCTTTACCTAATTTTGTTGTAATTTGTCGGAGGTTTTTATAATATTAAGGACCATATAGCCGTAAGTCCAGTAGCGTCTCGAGCAGGATCTGTACGAATATTTGTGACAAAAAAATGTACGCCACTGACCTTTGTGCAATTTTTATCATATACTTTGGATTAAGCAAATAGAAATACGACTTTTTGTCTCTTGTACTTTTTTCGTATCTTGCTTAGTTTTCGAGTTTTCCGGCAGCAGCGGTGGCCGTAGTAGTAGACTCTTCGGTCTCCTGATCAGTCGCCGTGCGCTGTGCGGGTTCAAATCCCGTCCCAAGAGAAATTTTTCTTTTGGCTATGGATGTTGTGATTGTCCGTAGGTGGTAGACGGTCTCTGACTGTCGAACGCAGAGGTACCATCCGGCGGATCTCGTAGGCGGGGCCAGAATGTGTGCATGTGCATGTACACGTGTTCCCTTGCCAGAGTATGTGTGGCGTTCCCCCGTTCCCCTGTATCCCCCTATAGCCCCACGGTACCCCATGGGTGTGTAGGCCTTAGGCCTTCGTGGTAGTTGGAGTATATAAAAAAAGGTCCACTTAATTGCATATCCCTGGACCACACAAGAAATATGGGAAAAGTTTCTTTTGGAAATTATGATTTTTTATTACTAATTATTGATAACAACAACAAATACTAAATAACATAATTAGTCATAAAAAATTTAAAAAATATTTCCAAAAGAAATTTTTCCCATATTCCTTGGGTGGTCCAGGTATATACAATTGAGTGAACTTTTTTTCTCGAAAACTAAGCAAGATACGAAAAAAATTCAGGAGACACAAAAGTTGTATTCCTATTTGCTTAATCCAAAGAACCTAAAAAATTGCACTAAAGTCAAAATAAATTAATCAAGCTAGAGCTAAATTAGCTCCTTGATGTTATAAACCGCCAAATTACTACAAAATTAGGTAAAGAATATTCAATATATTTACGAAAAAACTTTTTTTTAATTTTAACACCCTGTATCTTGAGAATTTGCGGGCCTATGTTTATATGAACTTTTTGTCTTAAAATTACTCAAATATTCGTCTGTTAAATCTATGGTACATACTTGATTAACACCCTGTATAAACACAACAAAACTTCCCCAAAGACTTTCCAGACCACCTCCTTTTAGAGCACCAAGTGACTGGACTTCTTACAAATCTATGCGATATTGCTGTATTAACGTTTCAAGTTTTAGTATACCTTTTTTGCCAACAGCAAACGCTCAGAGGAGCGAAGCTTTTTATAATCATCGTGTGTGTTTTTCTCGACTAGCTTGAATAATGGATACCCTTGCGCCATGCAGTTAGGGGCACAAACATCTGGCATTTTAGCTGTTTACAAATATCTGGAAATTGCTGATCTATGATATTTACTATAACACTTTACCCAATACGATATAATACCAAGCAAAACGATTGCATATTACAAATACCATAACATACCATTTATTGACCACACTAAGTATACCGGGTGTCCCTAGCAGGTGGCTTATCCCTATAATTTTTGCATTTTTAAAAATACAAACAATACAAACACGTGACGTCATAAAAAAATTAGATTCCCCACATCGAGAGGAACCCAAATCACCCCCATATATATGGTCCGATTTTGTTTAGTTTAGGAGTTATGATTTTTTTTCGGATTTTTCGAGAATTTTTGAGTTCTGTGTTTATTTTTTTTTAGCATAACTTCGTTAATAATTGTGATAAATGCCTGCTTTTTTCACGATTATGTAGCTAAGACCTAAGGCTTAACTATCATATAATCATTCAAGTCATGTAACTAATACTACTTTTTAATTTTTTTCAAAATCTTCGAACATAACAAAAAAGTAAAAAAGTGCAACAACTTTGAACGTTTATAAAAAATTGAAAAAACATGTTCTTACTATTCGTAAGTATCTTAAAAACTTCCTTACGGTATCAGCTATTTACCGTAAAGATTTCATCAACCTAGCTTTACTACATGCTACCGTAATTGTGGCTCAAATAGAACCGAACCCAAAATTGGATAACCCTCTGCTCAATAGAAATTGTTAGTTTCGGAAAAAAAATTTGCAAAAACCACAAAAACACGTTTGATTTTTACTGAACAGCAGATTATTATTCATTTATGTTATTTACAAGAGGTTTTCAAAATGTCTGCCTCTAACAGAAATGCACAGTGTACACCTACGTATGAAATTTTGTTTTAAATCTCTAAATGCTTGTGTGTTGTTTTTCAACACATGTGTCGCTTCTTGAATTTTGTTCCTCAATGAATTTTCATTTGCACATTCTTGGGCGAATGTTATGTCTTTAAAATATCCCCAAACAAAAAAATCAATGGGGTTGAGGTCAGGGGAGCGTGGAGGCCATCGTATCGGTCCGTTTCGTCCGATCCATCTGTCTGGGAACCTTTCGTTTAAGTAGTTTCGCACGATCGTTGCGTTGTGGCATGGTGCACCATCATTCTGGAACACCATGTTCCGTCTGGCTTCCAGGCTTGAATCTTCCAGCAATAATGGTAGGCTATTTTCAAGGAAGCTTTTGTAGGCTACCGAATCCAACCTTGACGGCAGTTCAAATGGACCGATAAATTCCATATTGAATATTCCTGACCACATGTTCACACTAAAACGGTGTTGAAACGTCGACGGCCTTGACTGGTGGGGGTTTTCAACAGCCCAAGTATGTAAATTATGGATATTGAATATCCCTGTTCTTTCAAAACGTGACTCGTCAGTCCATAAAATTTTATCAAAAAAATCGGGATCCTCTCGTTGTCTTCGCAGCATTGTGAATACCACGAACATCGATACAAAATATTCTTCATGAAGAAGGTTATCATGCCTATCATGTTCAAAGAGTTCAAGCGTTGATGCCTTCAGATTACCAGTTAAGAGTGGATTTCTGCGAGACAATGCTGCGAAGACAACGAGAGGATCCCGATTTTTTTGATAAAATTTTATGGACTGACGAGTCACGTTTTGAAAGAACAGGGATATTCAATATCCATAATTTACATACTTGGGCTGTTGAAAACCCCCACCAGTCAAGGCCGTCGACATTTCAACACCGTTTTAGTGTGAACATGTGGTCAGGAATATTCAATATGGAATTTATCGGTCCATTTGAACTGCCGTCAAGGTTGGATTCGGTAGCCTACAAAAGCTTCCTTGAAAATAGCCTACCATTATTGCTGGAAGATTCAAGCCTGGAAGCCAGACGGAACATGGTGTTCCAGAATGATGGTGCACCATGCCACAACGCAACGATCGTGCGAAACTACTTAAACGAAAGGTTCCCAGACAGATGGATCGGACGAAACGGACCGATACGATGGCCTCCACGCTCCCCTGACCTCAACCCCATTGATTTTTTTGTTTGGGGATATTTTAAAGACATAACATTCGCCCAAGAATGTGCAAATGAAAATTCATTGAGGAACAAAATTCAAGAAGCGACACATGTGTTGAAAAACAACACACAAGCATTTAGAGATTTAAAACAAAATTTCATACGTAGGTGTACACTGTGCATTTCTGTTAGAGGCAGACATTTTGAAAACCTCTTGTAAATAACATAAATGAATAATAATCTGCTGTTCAGTAAAAATCAAACGTGTTTTTGTGGTTTTTGCAAATTTTTTTTCCGAAACTAACAATTTCTATTGAGCAGAAGGTTATCCAATTTTGGGTTCGGTTCTATTTGAGCCACAATTACGGTAGCATGTAGTAAAGCTAGGTTGATGAAATTTTTACGGTAAATAGCTGATACCGTAAGGAAGTTTTTAAGATACTTACGAATAGTAAGAACATGTTTTTTCAATTTTTTATAAACGTTCAAAGTTGTTGCACTTTTTTACTTTTTTGTTATGTTCGAAGATTTTGAAAAAAATTAAAAAGTAGTATTAGTTACATGACTTGAATGATTATATGATAGTTAAGCCTTAGGTCTTAGCTACATAATCGTGAAAAAAGCAGGCATTTATCACAATTATTAACGAAGTTATGGTAAAAATAAACACAGAACTCAAAAATTCTCGAAAAATCCGAAAAAAAATCATAACTCCTAAACTAAACAAAATCGGACCATATATATGGGGATGATTTGGGTTCCTCTCGATGTGGGGAATCTAATTTTTTTTTATGACGTCACGTGTTTGGCCACCCTGTATATATACAGGGTGACTTCGAAGTTGAGTCATTTCACATCAAACAAGGTAACATTTTTTTTTTATTTTTACACACATATTATGGTTTATCTTCCTTCTACAATCATTATCTGAAAATTAATGACTCAACTTCAAAGTCACCCTGTATATAGTTGGGTACAAAATACAATTACTTTGGGAATTGGGAAAATTGGCAAACCTTTTAGGCTAAAGTTGACTCTTTTGACGATAAAATCAAGCTTTCGGCATTCTCTATGGAGCCATCATCAGGATTCTGAAAACACAATTGTGATGCTAGCAAAGGAGACAGATTTAAAATGTCAGACAACTTACTCGTCGGT